TGAAAGAAACAAATTAGCTGGCTTTTGTTTTGGTGCTAATTTATGACAGCCATATCGGAGGTGATTGGGTCCTTGCAAGGTAATGGCTTGTGGAGGTTCCAGGGCATTTTATCTTTCTTTGGCAGAGTTAATACATGTATCCAATTTGCTATTTTCATTCCCCAGTACACGTTTTCTTTATTTATGTTGGCTATAAATCAAAGAGCACAACAAATATTGCAATATTCTGCCCAATAAAAAGCCCCTGCTCCTTTGCTATTTAAAAATACCACCTATTCAAATGTCAAACACAATATAAATACTGACAGATGGAAGGAGTTAGGGTATTAAGAGAAAATAAAAAAGACAAAATGATCCCTGCAACCTAAAGCATCCTGTGAACGAAGGGAAAGTGAGAATCCAGACAAAACCAATATCATTGGGTTTCCTCAAAGTAGCCCGGGGAGAAGACAAACACACAATGAACAATCAAGGTGGTAGAAAAAGTGTATTTAAATCCCCATAGTAGAGAAGCTCAATGGTGTGAATATTTTAGATTGAATTTATTCAAATATACATGAGGAAAACATGTCCATCAAATGCATACAAAATCCACAAGGAATTTAAGAGTGTAGTCACATTTACGGCTTGTGGTACCTCTGATAATTTGTTATAACCAATAGGCTGATTATATCAGGTTCAGGGACACAAGTGCCTGCAAGGTTAAACTATAATTGATGTTAAGTGACAGAGGAAGACCGGTCCAGGATCAATGAATTCCTCTTGCATGCCCACAAACAGCCTCTGCTGATAACATACATGCCAAAGCCCTGTGGTTCTGTATGTAGCTGCCAATACAGCTGTGCAATATGGCATTAAACATCCACAAATGTTAAACCTAATCCTCCATAGCCAAATTAAGTTTAAGGGATGCAAATGTTCATATTTGATGGATCAAAGTTTTGCGAAATCATGCATGAAATCTAATGTGAATTTATTTTTTCCAGTGCCATCTTATTCTGCTGATGAAAAAAGGCCGATAAAGGAGGAGGCACAAGGTGTTGGTGAATTTGCCAAACATTTCACAAAGCAAAACTGTGGGAGAGGAAAGGACTGACTCTAGCTTTGATAGGTAGCTCCCTTGATGTGAGATTTGACTAGAGCATTCTAATCTAAATCTAAGTGAAAGCAGAGGGAATATCCAGGGAGTGTCATATCCTCACTGTGTTATCTGAGGCTCACAGGCCCAACAGCTCACATAGAGCGACCGCAGGGGTGAGAAGGAGAACAGGGGGAAAAAACCCTTTTAAGAATTCGGTTATTTTCCTAGAGACAGTCAAAAGTGTCTCCAGGAGCACTTTGGCCACAACGAAATTGACTATCTTGTTCATTTAAACCAGAATGCTGTCTCAGACTTTCTATAACTAATCCCAGCAGTAAAGGTGTTTGCCAACAGGTTTGTAATCATTTTCTTGTATATATTTTCTAACAAAGTTTTGCAGTTACACTTGTGCCTCTAGGTAGATAAAGTGCTGAGGTTTTTAAAAAAAAGAAAAAGGCATGATTACAAGTTTAATTAGAAGAATGAAAGGAAGTGGGTTTTCTATTACTGCATCCTTGTTGTAACTCACATGGCGCTGCATACTAATATGAACCCCTTATTAAATTAATATGCAATTAAAATAGCTCGTCTCGATTAAGGTTTTTACAGGTTTATTTGGATTATTTCCAAAATATTGCACTATACATAAAAGGTTTTTGTTCAACACTGGTCACAGTTGGTCAGAGATAATCATGTTTGTGCATACACGTGAGAGTCCAAAATGTGTCGTCATGGTGTTTCGCAGAGTTAAATGAGGAATGGGCCGAGCAAGGGATAGATAAAGTAACTTGGTGAATCATTTCTAAAAGAACAATTTCAGTAACGCATAAACAGGAAAATATATGTGCATAAAACCAGCTAAAGTGAAACCTTCTGAAAGTAATATTCAAAATGGTTTCGCAATCTCTTCATTCACTCACTGGCAGTGATTTAGACAGCTGTCAAAAAAAACAAAAAACAGAAGCAGACAAGCCTGTATATAGCAACGGCTACATGTAAGTGCCATAGGAACCTAGAACAAATGTAATTATTGGAACACATTATTTGTCAGTGATACAGTGTTATTTTATAACATAAATCATTTAATAATAATATATAATTTAATACATAGTTGGCCCAGAATCAAATTACAAGAACACCCAACCTATAATTGGTTATTCTCACTTAGCTAGTGTCGTATCCGAACTACATTACTACATTACCTCAAGAGATGTGCATTTCCCTTGAGTTATTTATGGATGAAACATCAACATTCAAGAATAATTGGGTGGTTGAGCAATATGGAGTCCAGAAACACAAATTTAATGTGTTTATTTTAAATGTCTAACACAAATCATACTCAAGGTATAAAGACAGAAAATACCAAATATAAGAATATATACATATCACGTTTTTGAATCTTTGTTTTATGCTAAATCTACATTGGGGCAACGTTTTTTTTCTTTTTTGCTGGTATTCTGTTTCATCTAAAATGTTGCATGCTGTGCAATTGTTGCGATTAGATAGTATTGCAAGTGACCTGTGATCTTCTGGCCAGCTGTGAATCCTCCTCACAGTTTAAATGCCAAAAGTTCGCATTTTAGCTAATTGTCTGGATAAAGGTCAATGGGCATTTGAAAATGAGACACATGGTGCGCATTCATTAGATGTGATGGGAGCCATGAGAGCTTGTAAGAGCAATCCTGGGCCCAGCCAATGCTTCTCCCCCCCAGGGATAGGTTGTGAAGTCCATTCATGGCGTGTTGTCAAAGACGAGGACAAAGCTGTCAAAGCTTTCATTTTTCGGGCATTGACTGAGTGGACCAGACAATCCTGTAAATCTGTCAGAGATTCTAGCTGTTTTGTACAAATAAAAGGCGAAAAAGCTGCTTTTGGAACCACCGTGAGGTCCACGAGTTGTTCCAAATGGCTTAAACTCTAGCTTGCAAGTTTTTGGAATTATTCAATATGTCCAAGTGCACCCAAATAGAACAACAACAGCTGCTTGTGGCCCGTTCTGTCGAGATTAAATGTATTAAAACTCATATTAGCACAGCGATAACAAACAGAACAATTTTGTTATAGAACAATCCAATTTATCTTTACAACTCATACATAATAATCATCCTTGAGTCTTTATGAAATAATATGTTAAACATTAGATGGACAACACCACACATACACCTACCAATGTGTTATGGCTGAGAGCTTTCAACCGAATGCTGTGTTGACATTTTAAAAAGAGAGAAACCTAGAGATCTAGAATAATATATGATGGTTTTATATTGCACTTCAGGAAGCAACACATTTTTGAAGTTTATTGAAATGCCTGAATGAATGAAACAGCTTTAATCCAGCCAACATGATACTCAACAGCAGAGTGTGTGACCCAAGTGAATAACAATGTTTAACCTATACCAGCAATTTAAGTGCAGCAGGACAAGTACCTTTTAAATGCACATGGATGGCTTAATATGAGAAGAACACATGGTCCACTGAGGGATAACATAAAACTAATTGTTACACTTACACCAGTGTTCATGACAAAAGGATAACTATAAGGGTGAATTAGAATCTCATTAAAAAATGTATTTGAACAGCGTAAACCTTAAAAGCCCTCCTTTGACTAGACACCTCCCTATGGGCTGTGTGAAGTGCTATCACTTTGAAGAGCACTGTGATTTACTGGGGAAGTTACACCATCAGCTGTCTTTATAATTAAAGGTGCAAAAGCATAATTGCTCTATAAAGACTACATTGTCAGCAGAACTCTCAACACCTCCCATCACCCTTCGCCCACACACAAAATGCATAAACACATCCAATATAATTTGGCATAATACAAAACTCTGAGCCAGAAAACAATCGGAAAAAACGACTCCAGTCTATTGGGGCTATTATCCAGCCAAAAGAAAATAATCTTTCCCAGACCTGTCATCTGTCAATTGGGTGACAAAACAGTCTTCAAAGCACAAGGCTAATACGTTTGGTGCATGACAATAAAGCTTTTCCCAAAACCTATAGAGTCCTTTGAGTAAGTGGCAGCGGAAGACTTAAAAGTGTTTCTTTGACAAACCACTTAGTTCTCTGATTTTCAGAGGACGAGTAATGATCCCTTCAGAGAGAGGAAAGAGAGGGAGAAAGGTGGGTGGGGGTGGTGGTGTGCATTGGATTGAAAATAAGCCTGTAATTCTCACACTAGTTTTAATAACCTGCGTACATTCGAATAAATCAAAGAAACAATCACTCTGTTCAAACACTTGACCACAGTTACAGTCTTTTATCAGTCTTTTCCCCAGGGTGTCTGTCACTGCAAGCTATTCCTTCTCGCATGCTAATTATAAATTGTGTCAATGTTTAAGACAGAACTATTTTTCGCTTAAAAGAACATAACCACTAATGGGTAACCGTTGCTATTTGCACATACTGACATTTGATCTGTGATATAAAGTTATAAATTAAAGCATTTATGTGTCTACTACATTAAAGAGATACATTCTGATCAACTAAAAATAAATCAGTTTGACACTTATATTGATCAGTACAGCGATACCTTTCCTTTTATACATTGTTTCTACTTAGACAGTGCTGGTTCCTGCGTTAATGTCTGAATAGTTTCTTCAGTTCAGTTGAATTTAGGCCTCTCTTCGCAGAAAGCTTTAAGAAAGCTCTAAGACCATGGTCACGTTAGCAAATACCTTTAACAGGAGAAAATCATATCGCATTCCCCGGAGAGGACTGGGAAGCAAATATATCCCAGTTCCAATTTAAAAATGCATTAAAGTATTGAGAAGGCCTTGTCCAAATAAGAGCATTTCATATATGACTATGGATCTCCTTTGCTTTAGGGAGGCTAAAATGAAGTTTGGCCCTGCTAACCTGTGATGTCCAACATCAATGGGCAGCAAGTGGAAATGATTGATATGCTGGGATTGTTTACCTTGCAGATTAATCTTGCTCTCTGGGCTCTGCAGAAGGATGGAGCTAACCGAGTCGAGATTGTCATAGCTACTGCATCCCAGCGGCCCCGTCCGTGTCTCTGTCACCTGCAACAGAATTAGGACAAAAATTAGGCACACATTTGAAAAGCAAACATATTGATATGTGGATTGTGACAACATGTGAATGTGTGCTGGTACATTATGTGAATGTAGAAGCGAACACCTGCATCTTTGAATCTCAATTTTCGGAGAATGCAGAATTTATACCATGTAAATACTTTCTCTTGCAGAGCCAGCATTTAATCTGTTTTAATTAAACTCCATGTGTCTTAACCTCTGCTGTGAACACAGCGATCATTCTTTCTGAGACTGCTTGCGAGTAAACTCTAGAGTGAACCGTAGTGTGATTCAATTGCAATCAGAAACAAATTTGACCGAATTACTGGAAGTCGACCAAAATGCAGACAATGATGGGCTGCCTGTGCGGACATTTGTTGAAATGGACACAGGTAAAAGACAGGGTTAAATGAGTGGGAGAGGACTAACTGGGACTTCTGGAGGAGGTATGATGTGAATAGGAATCTTGGCTTGTAGAGAAAATGCTGAATATTCTAAATAAAGTTAAAAAAAGTGATTCTTATGAGCAAACTGTAGAAGAGGAAACCTAATTTGTCCCATTTTCCTGTATTCATTTGTGCGTTCTAAACCTAACTAGATAAATGAGAAAACAAATCAAAAGTGAAAAGAAATGATTCTGATACAAAATAACCAAAGATATTGAGAAAGAGATTAAAGTAAGCATATGCTAAGTTCAGTCACATAGGAGCCATGAGCATATTAACAATGTCAGGTGGTATATGTGAAGATCTGTTCATTACTGCTGTCAGTGGATAATTTATAAGGCCGACTTTCACATGTGCTAATTGCACAGATTTCACACTGGTAAATGTAACACCCTGTGGCCCAGTGACACAGGAAGAGATGCGGTGACAGAAAGTATTGCCACAGGTTATCACAGTAAAATCCATCATCATTTTAGCTTTTTTAGTTCACAGGACATAATTTGAGGGCTAATTACCTCTAAGAAAAAAAGGGCATAATTGCATTTTTAACAACACGTTTACACAGCGCATCTTTAATTAAGCTGCTGGTAACATGTCTCACGTGTTGCAAGGCTGTGGTGTCTTTTAAACACTTTAAATAGGTTTTATTCAAACAGAAACATGAATGGCTATTTCTGGTGAATCTATATCCTTGGTCCATTCAAAATAAACCGCACTATGGTGGTGGCTCTTGTTCTCTACCCTTGGACAATGTTCTAAAGAAATAATGATGCTTTTCAATGAAAGAAGCCACTTTAAAATACAGAGCTTCCACATTTGAGACCTTGAGGAGTCTGCTCTTGAAAAGGAAAGGAATGAATGAAACCTCTCCTCTTTTCAGCTGCCTTTGCTCATTAAGTTCTTCCAGAAGCTCCTATCCTAATGGTACTTGTACAAGGTTCCAAGAAGCCAAAAGAGATAGCTCTCAGCAGAAGAGATTAAGGGACTAGATGAACATAAAAATCAGTTCTATCCTTCTGGGTTTTTGTAGAGAGCAAAAATGAAAATGCTAGGAAGCAGAAATTTATCTTGTACGTGCCAGAAATATTAAGATACTATTATTACATGTCTTTGACGGCTATCTTGTTTGTTTTTAAGTTTAGAACAAAATGTTGTATGGTTAGGGTTAGGGTTTCTTATGTATTTGATACCAGTCAGCAATGGTTGACACAGTAGGGGTTTCTTTCAGCGCAGTTGGGGAATTCTGCTTCAACAGTAGTGAAAGTCTATCGATTTCAACCCGCAACTGATTTTTTGGCCAGTTGGGGGCAGTGGAAACACGTTATGAACACAGCATCGACAGATAAATGCCTTTTAAGTTAAATTTGAGCTGTTTTTATTCTTGTTATAATTATTAGGTAATTATCTTGCTCTTAAACTGCGGATTGCTTCACTATGTTTATGAGCTTGCTTTGTCCATCAGCCGCTCATAGGTAGCATGCATAGGTTTTATAATAACAACAAAAGCTGATTGATAGTGTATCAGCAATTCAAAGGATAATGGATTAATGTTTTTCCTATGCTGACATAATGGTGATTGTATTTATGTCTATCAGAACTAAGATGTGACAGTTGTTTGGCGCTGAATGTCTGTCCTGAGCTTGTGCTTGAGGACGTGAAGACTGCATTTGAAATCCTTGATGACAACCAGTTTTTCCACAAGAATAGTTAATGTTATTGTTAGACTGTATATAAATGTATGTAATTATAGGTAAAACAATTTTATTTCAGGCACTGTTACATTTTTGGTAGAACACATTTGTAATACAGATGCGTGCAAGCAAACTGTTTTTTTTTTTGCTGCAGTAAAAATATTGTTTTTGAGAGGCTAAAGGCAACACATTTTAATTAAAGCGGAAGATTTTGTCTTCAACAATCATGTTTTGAATTTTGAAAATGATTACATATATCTTATAAAAAAGCAGAGCTGGGTCACTTGCTCTGTGTGTGTTTGGATGAGCGAGACAGGATGCCAGAGAGAGGGAAAGAGCAAGAAGTAGCTTAAAAAAAATTGTTTTAGTATTTCAAAGCTGTCAGTTGCTGAGCAAAGCCTCGTCCGACAACGATTAGATAATGGGTAAACAAAAATGACTAATGTTTGTAAGATGCCTACCACCTATGGCCTCACTAACTTGTGCTTTCTATATACGTGTGAGTGTGTGTGAGTGTGTTGGCGTGTGTATATGTCCGTAAATAACAGTGTGAAACCAATTTTCCTGTCTTTAATGTTGATACGCCACCAGATGGTGGGCTGACAAGCAAGAAATTAGACAGATGTATATCTTACCCTTGGCATCGGGCTGTTGGGGGTAAATGCAAAATCATTGGGAGACAGACAGTGACAGACATGGTTGGAGAACTATGCAATCTTAGTATGATAATGATTTTCATCAACATAGAACACATGGTATTCACATTAGAGTGCATTAACATGATTGCAGTTTGCACAGTGATGTCTATGTGTTAAAGCAAGTACAGTTCGGTGAAAGTCAGTATGGGGTGACACACAAACATCAGTCTTAGAAATAGTGATCTATTGTGATGGATATAACTATAACAACTATTATGGGGTCAGTTGTTGCTTTCCCCTGTACAATATGCTCAGCTGTAACTCTCACACTGAACAAATAGTCTGTTTATTTTAATTTGTTTATAAGAGACCTTTTGTTTACATCCTTGAGGAATAATGCATTTCAAATAACGCAGAATTGGAGATTAGGGCTAATAAATTATAATGGTTACTGAAATTGCCTTTTTCAATAAGTTGTATTTCAAAATTGCTGTTCTCCCTTTATGAGACGCAATATCATATTATAATAAGTTTACTTTTTTCTCTCTGATTATCTCAGATACGTTTGCAAAGGATTTCCCCCTCTGGGCAGTGGGCTCTGGGATAAGAAATCCGTTTTGATTTGTGTTTCTCTTGATTTGAGGCTGTTGGATCTTCAAAAAAGTAAACATTACTGTGTTAGATTACGTTAAGCTGTTTATTACAATTTTATAATCTAACAAAATTGTAATAACAAAGACAAACAGCCTCTTTGGTTAATTCAAACTAATTCCTCCTGGGTGTAGAAATGTCTCTTTTGTTGCTGATGGGAATTAATGTGAACTGTAGGGCCTATGACAGTCCAATTTCACCCGAATCACAATAAATCAATGTTGTCTTGTTTAAGTGAAACAAGAAAATATTTTTCTTTACAACTACTTTATTGTGTTTGACACAAAAACTGTAAACGAGACATTTTGTATCATCTCATTGCATTTTTCATCCAACATTTCTCATCTAACTGGGTCCAAGCCTTTCCCTTCTTTATTTCCTTCCAGCCAAGCAATGGACTTTGAAATGCACTTCATGGCCTTGCATAGAGTACATGTGCAGATTGATTACAGAGCTACACTTGCCTATCACACTCCACCATCTTGATGGCTGCTGACGCTGCTGTTTCCCTTCCCTTTTTGTTTTGCTTATCACCGAATGAATTACTTCCTTCCAAAGGTTGTGTTGCACGATACATGATGAGTAAGAGTCTGTCCTCTGTCGCCAATCGACAAATCTTCCCAGGTGGCAAAGCAGGCATACGCACAAGCTCTGGCACATTTACATTAGTACTTGCACACAAATTACATCCTCCAATGGATGTGCGTAAACACGAGCAGCTTGACACAACCAGTTTCCAATTCAGTCATTTTCTCTACGAATTATTATTCCAAGTTGCAAGTGGACATACCCAGCTTTATGGATTAGAGACTGACCCTTGTAATCTGAATGAGTTTTGGAGGCCAGTATGCAGCACTTGTGTGGCTCTGTCTTTCATTTTCTCCGGCACACACCATAAGAGTGCTGTGCCCCAGATTATGAAAATTAAGTATAACGCAATAAAAATACAAGGAGCAATCAAAGGACTGAAGTGGGCCGAGGGGGATTTAGAGGATTTGGATTATTAAGCAGAACACAACAGTGGATTCCCACTGGGCCCAGACTGTATCACAGCCCACAGCCCCGAAATCACGGTTCTGGAACATCCTCTCTAATTGTCATCTGTCATCAAGAAAATCATTTAAGCAAGTAAATAAGGGATGATGCACATGAGATCCTAAGTTTCTTCTGTTTTTGCATTTTCTGTTTGCAACCAAAAGCACACATACTATTCCCCAAGCCCCAAATGTTGGAAAACTAACTTGCTCTTGTCTGGGCAAACTTTGTTTTTTCAAAATGTGAAATTCATCCTGGTGACATAAATACAATGCAGCTGCAGTATATCAGGAATGTGTAGGTGTTGTTCTGGACTGTGTTTGTGTGGCTGTGTTAAAACACAATTACACTGCTAACGTCTTCATATATAAAGAAGAATGCTGATCCTGTCATCGAAAAAATTGAGTGTCTATCTACAGGTTTTTTTTTCTTCAAAGAAATTGGTAATATACTCCTTTCTTACCAGTGGAAGAGTACAGTTTGTTTTGTTGTTGTGCCACGTTGTAGGGCCTGGTTAATTATCTCTAATTTCTTATTAAGTCTCTCTTTCAAACTCCTAAGCGAGTGTTGTTGATGGTTTGGGTCGGTGGATAGACTAATAGATCGGTTTGATGAGTGACAATGCTCTGTATTAGCTTGTCTTTGTTGCTT